GCTAGAAGAAAACAAGACCAACACTTCATCGTACTGGTGCAGGCACCAACTTCTTTAACAAGACCGCTAAAACTCAAGAAAGAAAACCAAGGACCAGGCAGTAGGATGCCATTAAACTGAAAAGTTTCTGGACAGCAAAGAAAAGGATCAAGAGTGTGAAGAGAGGGCCCACAGAATGGGAGAAAAATTTTGCCAGCTGCTCTTCTGACAGGGGATGAATATCCAGAGTATATAAAGAATTTAAAAAACAACACCAATCTAACAAATAACCCAATCAATAAATGGGCAAAAGAACTAAACAGGCATTTCTCAAAAGAAGAAATATACATGGCCAACAAATACATGAAAAAAATGTTCCACATTTGTAGCAATCAGAGAAATGCAAATCAAAAGCTACACTAAGATTTCATCCCACTCCAGTCAGAATGGCAACTGTCAAGATTACAAATAGAAAATAATTGCTGGTGAAGATATGAAGAAAACGAACACTCATACATTGTTGGTAGGACTACAAATTTGCACCACCACTCTGGAAAAGCATTATGGAATGGCACTATCCCATGACTAGCTATCTCACTCCCTGATATTTATCCAAAATAACTAAAATCAGCCTATTATAGCAATATAGTCACTTCAATATTTATAGCAGTGCAATTTACAATAGTCATACTATGGAATCAGCCCAGATACTCATTAATAAATGAATGGACTAAGAAACATAGTAAAAAAAAAGAAAATATGGTATATATACACAATGGAGTTCTACTCAACCATAAAGAAGAATGACATCATGGCTGCTGGTAAATGGATGGAAATGGAGCATATCATGCTAAGTAAAATAAGCCAGACTCAGAAAATCAAGGGAAGAATCTGGTCGCATATATGGAAACTAGACCAAAATAAGGGAAAGCAGTGTGCCTGGGGATGGGGGTGGGGGCGGAATTGGATATCATAAAGATATGGAGAAAATCGGTGGAGTAGCAGGAGATCAAAAGGGACAGAGGAGAGATGGGAAAGGGAAAGCAATGCAGGATTAATTTAACAGACTCAAATTATGTGCATCTATAAATATACCCCACAGGGACACCTTCCTGTGTGTGGTAAGCACCAATCAAGGGTGGATAAATGGATGAGCAAGGGGGGTGTCAGTGGAGGGGAGCTGGGGAAGAGAAGGGGAGACAAAGGGAGGAATAAAGACTGAAATGGAGTGAGTCAGACTCTATGCATGTACGATTTTCTCAGGATGAACCCATATGTGTAACTATAATTCTCTGGAAGAGAGGAGAGAGGAAGAGGAGAGAGGAAGAGAAGAGAGGGAAGAGGAGGGGAGGGAAGGAGAGGGGAGGGAGAGAAAGAAAGAAGCAGTAAAGGCCAGGTCAACAGTAAAGGCCCTCTATTTCTTAGTCCTTCTTCTAGGTGGGGGTTGTAAACTGGGAGGGGAGGATGGCAAGAGAGTCACAGGTAACTGAGCCTCTGGCTTAAAAACTTAAGAATCCAATTTTAGTTCTGTTTCTACTTAGTTGAACAATTAGACTTAACTACTGTCTCAGTCTTCTCCTCTGTAAATTGGGGGTATATGCTACCCATGATGTTAGAAAACATCAGCAAAGAGGTATAAGAAGAAGATAATGCTTATATCAGTATGAGTCCACTTTGGAGACAAAGCACACCCATCTTTCCATATTTTTTAGTACAGAGAATAATTCATTAGGACTAACAATTAGTAATTGGAAAAAGAACAAAATGACAATCTTAACGTTAGCGTGCAGGAAGCGACTAGGCAAGGCAGTGTGCCCCTGAGCCTGGAGGAACAAAGGAAGGGGGTAGAATTATTACAATGGAGAAGTTTAATGGGATCCCCACCTACAGAGCTGCAGCGCTGGGTTGAGCTGGTGTCTCTGAGTTTAGAAGTGGCTGGGATCTTGTCTTCTAAAGAGTGGAACCCAGTCCTTGGTGTTTAGTATCTGTGAAGTGAGGCCACAATAAGGCTGTTTCTGCAAACATTAGAACAACTGCCAACTGGCCTGAGACTCTGCTGCTACTGAAATGAACTACCACTGCTGAGGTCAAGAAGGGAGGCTGGGGTGATTCTGACAGAACAGGAAGCAGATGGCAGGAGTCACTCCAAGTTGATGGAGTCACAAAGCCTGACAAAATGGTGCATGAAAGGGTAGGTTTTTAGAAGTACAATTAATAGTGCATAAAATCATTTTAAAAAATGGGTTTATTTGTGAAAATTTCATACATGCATATAACATCAAGGGCGGGTTTTAAGCTGAGAAACAGTCTGGAAGAATGCCTATGAGAAGTTTTGTGACAGCCTACCTGTGTTTTCTTATTAAATATTTGAATATAGGACATCTCTGTTGTATTTGAAAACAACTAGGAATGCGCTAAGGATGAAGCTCAGCGGTCGAGTGCTTGCTTAGCATACACAAGGCCCTGAGTTTCATCCCTAGGACTGCAGAATAGCAGAAATAAAAACAAAACATAAAAATCTTAGCTGTGTGTGCCTCTAGTCCCAGTACTCCAGAGGCTGATGTGGGAGAGTCATTTTGAGCCCTGAGTTTGAGAACAACCTAGGAGATAGCCTGTCTCAAAACCAAAACAACCAGGAGTCCTTGTTTAAAAAATGGAGCAAATCAAATATGTCCTCATCACAGAATTCTCACTGGTGGCTATGCAGCTCAGAGAATGTGAGTGGCCCAATGTGAACAAAGGTAGACCTCAACTTTGAGGACTGATTCATGGCCAGAGAAGACTCTGGACTTGGAATCAAAAGGTCTAGGCTTGGCACATCAGACTAAGATGGCATGAATCCACATAAACTGCTTTACTTGAGAGACCCACATGTTTCCTCTTCTCACTTCATACATGTTCCCAGTCACCTTAAATATGGAAATATTAACTGGGGTTAGATTTCAAAGTCAGTAAACAAGGGGAATCAGATGGGGTCAAATGACTTAAAAATAAGACCAATTTGAGACCCTCATATAATGTGTTCGTCTACACAGCCAGATTATCCTCCAGAGTTGAAGCAGCCATGCTCCACAGGTGATTACCAGATGAAGACATCATTGACTATTCAAGGGCCAGGCTGCATAAAAATCTTACGTGAACCACTAAATACTATACTCACACTTACTCAGCACATGGGAACCAAGACCTGTTTGTTTATATCTTGGAGCTTCTCTCCACTTGGGTTCTGCAGTTACTAAGGAGAACGGCAAGCACTATTTAAACTGTCATTTACTCATCCTCTCCCTTTTGTTTCTTTGTTTTGCTAAAACATGTGTACAACACCCACCAGAATGACTAAAATGGAAAAGAAGAAACTACTAAGTATTGTTGAAAATGTAGAACATCCAGAACTCTCATACATAGCTGATGAGAGCATACACTGAACAACTTTGTTTAAAAATGGATTGGTAGCTAGGTGTAGCAGCGCATGCCTATAATCCCAGCAACTTGGTAGGCTGAGACAGGAGGATCACAAGTTCAAGACCAACCTCAGCAACTTAGCAAGGCTCTAAGCAACTTAGCAAGACTCTGTCTCAAAATAAAAAATAAAAAGGGCTGGGGATGTGGCTCAGTGATTAAGCACCACCAGGTTAAATCCTTGGTACCAAAATAAATAAAAAAAGTAGATTGGTAGTTAGCTGCTGAAGTGGAACATTACACCTGATGATTCCACTCCTACATATATACTGTATGATTCCATTTATAAAGTGTTCCAGCACAAACAAACGTAACCTATGCTGTTAACAGTTGAGAGAGTTCTGAGGTGCTGGTAGTGTTTGGTTTCTTGACCTGAGTGCTATTTCCATGGATGTAACCAACTAAAAAAAATAATTTACCAAAATTCATCAAGCTGTACCTTTTTACATATGTATACTTTTATGTAAATATATAATATTTTAATAAAGTTAAATGTGTCTTCCTTCCAATTCTCAATGTATAAGTAAAAGAATTGAAATCAACAATCCACTCACAGTGTTATTCACAACAGTCAAATATGGAAGCAACCTAAGCATCCACCAAGGGGTGAATGAATGGCTGGATAAACAAAATTTTGTATATGCATACATGTAATATTATTCAGCTCGAAAAAGGAAGACAATTTGGACATATTCTACAATGTGCATGAATCCTGAAGTCCTTATGCTACATGAAGTTAGTTGGTCTCACAAAAGGATAAATACCATATGATTCACTTGTATAGGGAAATTAGAATGGACAAACTTACAGAGACAGAGAACAAAATCATAGGGGAGGTTGGTGGGGTGCTAGCACTTAATAGGTATGGAGTTTCAGTTTTACAAGATGAACAGTCTGTGGATGGATGATGGAGAGTTGCATAACAATGCGAATGTACTTAACACCATTGAAGTGCTTACTTAAAATTTAAGATAGTAAATTTTAAGTGTAACATGAATTAAAATTTTAATTTAAAAAGCTAAATGTGACTCTGCTATATACCCTCCAAGTAAGTGCATGCTAATGAACCAACTGACCTCCCTCTGAAGGACACTCTAGAGATTTTACCCCTCTTCTCTTTATGGCCTACTCTAATCCCTGCCTTTTTAATCCTGTTGTGCACAAGAAGTAAAAAGAGCTAAGAATGGGTTCTGCATATCCTTGGACCTTAAGCTACATAAATGCTTTTGCCATCTTTCTTCACTTTTATACTCACAACCACCTTTGATAAATCATGACTGGATGGAAAGATAAACAAAATCTTATATATACATACATATGTCAGAGAGGCTTGTTATCATCAAGTTCAGGAAACTGAGAGGGAAAATCACAAAAGAGAAACATAAAACTCAAATTTTCAGGTACCAAATTCAAGCAGCAAGACATCCTCATAGTACCCTCAGGTTCATTACTCGCCTTGGAAAGCAAATTCAATTTTCAAATTAGTTTTCAGTTTCTATTGCTCCCATAAGAAAACACATTATATTACACAGATCTTTATATGTTGAAAATAATTCCACTGATTGACTTGAAAACAGTTTATTTAATTTATACAAATAACTACTAAATACAAAAAGTAGATTAAAACAAAATAGTTATTTTTTTCTGGCAGAGTTTAAATGCACATAATGGATAATTCCGAAGAAAATGCATTTTCCCCCACAGCGTTCAGGACTAAAATTCTACTGAAATCTTTGTTTCTAAATCAGTAATATATTCGGTGGTGTCACATGGGTAATGACTAAATACGTTCTGCATAAGAACTGAAAAAAAAGTTACAGTCTACACACATACAAATGTGAAGCATTTAAATGTGAATTTAACTGATAATAAAAGAAAATGTCCATTTCAGAGTATAGTGTTAAAAACATTTCAGTAATAAAATCATAAGACCACATAAAAATAAGCTTTAACATACACACAAAGCAGTTTTGTAAAAACTGCTAAGTGCACAAGTAATAAATAATTTGCAAAGTTGTGTATAAACAATTCCTAATGTTCGGCATCGTTGTAAACATCAGCACATGTGTAAAATGCAGCAAAGTCTGACATTACATTTTGTTTTTGCCAAATTGAATTCCTATTATCCAAAGACAGACCAGTGGAGTACGCAGCCAAAGTTTTGGCAAGTCGGGTCTTTAAAATTAAGAGTAACAGTGCAAGTAAGGAATGCAAAGAATTCCTAGTGCAATAAAGAAGAGAAGCACAGGCAATATTGCTGATTAAAAATTCACCACCTCCTTGAGTTTCCCGTGGGGAGTGTCTAGGAGAACTGTGAAAGATATGCAAAGCCATTGTCTTAATGCCCAGATCTCTTTTAGGATTTCTCTGTGTTCCTCCAGTTCCCTACCTTTGCAACAGTATCTGTCCACCATTAGTCTTTGAAGTGTGAACAGTTCATGAAATGCCCAGTTCACAGTCATTGAGCGAGGTTGGGGTGGTTTTGGTGTCTCCCCAGCACATGGCTAGGTGAGATGTCTGCCTCGTCAAAGTGGCCATTGAGGGAGGGAGACAGATGAGTTCTGTTCTGACAACCAGGCAGGCCAGCATTAGGTCCCAGCTGGACAACGACAACATCAAATCTTCCTTCTTGACACCATGAAAATGTCAACAGTCAGTTTTCAATTTGTCTAGGGAATTATCAATTTTGGTCAAAGTCTTTTTGATACGCAGAGCTGTGAGTCTTGCAGATGGGTTTTGATACCAGCATTCTTTCATCAGCTTGGCCAGAGAGGTTAATGTCTGAGAAGAGAAAGAACAAAAACCACAATGACAAATTGGCTGTTTAGTGGCACTGAAAGCTGGGCAGAGGTCAAGTCAACTGTTTTGAAAAACTCTGCAGGTTGTATGAAGTTAAAGAGATGTTATTACCATTTTCTTTAAACAAACAATCAAGGCTTTAACCAATGATAAAGTCACTCAAGAGTTTCTTGAACTCTGTCCTTTCGACTCTTAATACTACCAACTTACCTTATCAGGCAAATTACACAGGCCAAGTTGGACCCCTTGATGGATTTATGGACACTAAAAGCAATGGTAGTAACCCAGAGATAGTGAAATTTGCAAATTGGATCACTTCCCAAAGTCCTAGATCTGCTACTAGTTATGTGTAGTAAGATAGGCTCTACAGCATTGAGTAGTTTGTTTGGAATTTTAGGTAAGCAGAGATAAAGAGGAGATGAAAAGCATCACTCCAGATCTCAATGCAATCACAGGGCTAATAGCAGCAGTAATATGTCTCCTAATCCCTGGTCAGTCATAAATTCTTCTGAATAGTATCACTCATTAGTAAGACCTACCAGACAGCACTTCTTAAAGAACAAGACAATTTTCCAAATCTACTCAGGCTCAAAGAGCCTTCTACAAAAAACAGGGAGGGAGAGTGGCCAATACAGAGTGCAGATGGCTTAGATACAAAAGATCTATTGAAATCAAAAGCAAGCAAATTACAAGCAGCCAAAATAGCTCTAGAACCAAGAAACTAGAACTCTCACCGGGTCTGAGAACCATCTGTTGGGTATGTTTGGCCTCTGTTGATCCACACACACTACTTTCCTCATATCTTCAAAACTTGGGTCATTGGGAACTACATCGTAGAATGGTGGCTTGTAGTCTTCCACTATACCTGCATATGGGACAAGAATTGTTCTGGGTTAGCAAGATAGTAAATGTTCCCCTAAGATTTAATTGATGGGTCTCACAGGTTATAATGTGACAGGATAAAGTACTAGTCACCTTCCTCATACCTCAAGCCGTTCTGGAAACTACAAGGAGATACTAACTATACAGCCTGTAGGGAAATGGAGGAAAATATTTATTAGAAGAAAGTATGTGAAAACTTCTCATGTAATCACGAGTACTAACAAAATGCTCCGACAGGACACACAAACAGCTCTGCAATGCCCAATAAAGATTGAGTGACCTAAAATAAAAATTCCTCTGGTTGTCAGAGAAGAACAAAACACCTCTAAAAAGTACACGAATCTAGTCATTTCCAACCATAAATAGAAGTAAAAAGTTGTCCTCATACTAGAGTTAGAGGCAAATAAATTAAGACCATCCCCCCAAATAAGGCTTTCTGTTATAAAATTATTTTGTAATAAGAATCATTGTTTAAAAATAATCCTTTCCACTGGGAGGGATGCTAATATATTATGTAATATTGCATTTCCTTGTTCATCCATTCTACATGCCATGAATACCCTCTAACCACCAGGCACAACTCTCCATTGGATGGTTCTGTTAATTACTCTCAGATTGAAGGCACAAAACAAACTGTAGAGAGGATAGCCATCAGAAGGCAAAGGAACAGTAAAGAAAGCTGAACTCTTCTCTTACCCCTATGCAAACATCAAAGTGAACACTTTCAGCTTCTATTCCTGAATGACTTCCCATGGCTTAGAAACCTTTTCCAACAAAATTACATAATTCACTTCATCATTTGCAACTGGAAAACTGATTCTTCCCTTCATCGAGATGAAACCAAAAACATCTATTCTTTCCTTCCCTTCATCAAAAAAATTCAGTAGAGCAGTCAGCGGATAACTTGGCTTCCAGCTCTCTTCCCTTCCTCCATGTAATTTATTTCTACTCCTAAATACATAAGGGGTTATGGCAGAGGACAGAAGGAAGCTATGCACACAGTTATGATTAAGTTTTCCTAGTTCCTACAAGACACCTTTAAAGCTTCAATCCCCTTTTCATTTATTAAAGAAATTACCTAGCAGTGAGAAATTACCTACCATTCTCGCGAATCCCATATAAATACAAACCACTTATGCAGAAGATTAGATATGATAAGGAGCATCTGTTCAAGAAATACTACAGAATTTTTTTTTAAACTTCACAAATTCAACTAAAGAGTTTATTTTTAAAATAGAAAGTAGTCTAAATTGTATTTTTAAAAATTCTAGTTGGTACCCTTCTTACTTCTGAATCACTTAGCCCATTGCCTAGCTGCACTGTAATGTGTCAATCACCTTCCCTGACAAATCATCAACAGCCCATATTGGGCATCAACCACAGCTTCCAGAATACCTGGAACATCTCAGAGGTCTTACATGCTTCTCATGTAAGATCCCAGGAAGCATTCAAACAAAAATATTTTACTTCTTTTCAGTAGTAAGAGACACCACCTAAACCCTGCACCTTTGCCAGGCCACATGAATAAATTTATGGTAAACAAAGATGTGCTTTTCACCACCTCTTAATTTTTTTCCGCAGGAACACATTTAATAACTTTGCTTAATTCTTTAAAATTCTCACAGAAGGCTATTTGGAGTAATTTGCCTAGTGAGTGTGGGAAGGGTTATGTGAATGTAAACAGTAACACAAAGTCAGATTTTTTTTTTTTATTTCTAGGCAAAATAAAATGTGGATTAAAACATAAGATTTGACGACGCCCAACAATGAACTTCACTCTACAAAGCTGAAGTTTTCCCTTATGTTATCCCATAGTTTAATCTTATTAAATACCCCCAGCTTTTAAGAAAGGAAGTCAAGTTTAAAAAGAAAGACCACTTAATCGATTATGCCTGGGACTTTGTCACAACTCTGTTTCTTCAACCATTGGTCAGTGGTTGACTTTGTCCAGGCTTCTCCGAAATAAAATAAACCTAACTGTAGCAATCACTTGGAACTCCCTCTAGTCAAGGAAAGCACATGTCCATCAGTCAAAAGTACATTATAGCTACTATGTGTGGAATGCTATATTAATGCTGAGGATAATAAAAAGCTTAGACATGCTCTTGTTTTTCAAGGAAATCAAATTCTAGAAGATCAACACAGTCCCTTTCTTTCTTTCCTCAGATAATGGTTTCTTTCTTTTTCTTTCTGATACCAGGGATTGAACCCAGGATACTTACCCACTGAGCCACATTCTTATCCCTTTAATTTTTTTTTTTTTCCTTTTGAGACAGGTCTCACTAAATTGCTTAGGACCTCTCTAAGTTAGTTAGGCTGGCTTTGAATTTGTGATCCTCCTGCCTTACCCTCCTGAACCACTAGGATTAGAAGCATGCACCACTGAGCCTGCCAACCATGTTTAATTGAAAGGTTTTTTTTGTTTTATTTTGTTTTTGAGGCAAATCTATCTTTACCAATTAAAAAGAACCTCAATACCTTTTCACCCCACTATTTATATCCTGAAAGGCAAAAGTAGAAATACTAAATGTTTGCTTGTTAGCTCAACACTGACTCAATAACCGTGTGACCCTTTAAACTCTGTGTGTCAGAAGTTATACTTGGCAGTAGGGATACAAATGAAAAGGAAGTAGTGACCGTACTGAGGAGCAGGGCAATAGGAGAGGTGGATAAAACTGAAATGATAAACTTGTGTCAGAGACAGAAGCCATAAGATGGGGGGGCAGAGAAGGACCCATCTGTCTGGTTTCCCAAGTACAATCTATAAACTGGTGCTACCAGAATACAATGAGCTTTCCAGGACCCAGGGGTTGGGTGCACATAGATAAGCAATTTGTGAGGGAGCATGAAGGTGAGAGGAAGACAAATCACCACGGAGAGATCTTCACTCCAGGCAGAGGGAGAGTGGGGCAGGGAAGGATGACAGTGAGCCTCACATGCTGGAGACATGAAGGGGAGATCCCTAGAGGTTAAGAGTGGGGCACAGGGCGGTGGGAAGCCTGGAAGGAAAGACCAGGGTGGGTGGGAGGTGAGCACATCAGGAGGTGACTTGTGTTGCCAAGGTAGGAAGTGACTGACTTACAACGGTTCCTCATATTTGCCAAAAAGTGACATACAATCTGGGTAGCCAGGCAAAAACAGTGAACTGTAAGTCCTATAAAGGCAGCCCCCAACGAGCAACTGCCAAATCGTGAGCCAGCAGAGATGACAGCACGAATTCAGGAAAGCAACTAAAAATATGAAATGCTTCAAGTGCCAAAGGAGTGGTACAAACAACAAACGATACAGGGATGCAGGGGAGAGGAGCTGTAAACGCTGGTCAAGGAAGGAACAAACAGCCTGGCTGGCCTTCCCATCAAGGCGGCTGCTGACTCAAAGCGGCCAGGGAAAGCAATCAGAGAAATTATTCATAACTACACCCCCTCAACTTTTGGCATGTGTAACTAATTTATACGATCTTTTTTTTTTCCTCCTTGGGCATATGTTTAATTGAAAGCTTTTTTTTTTTGAGGCAAATCTATCTTTACCAATCAATATCCCTACCACTAATATGCAGCATAGCTCTGAGTAAACTCTCAGTTGTCAGTTTTCCAATACCTTCCAACTACACATCACAAGCTCATGCGCAAAACAAGAATACCCTCCACATGTGCTCTGAAAAACATGAAATGCCACCGTGTCCTGCCTACCAAGGCCTCGGACTAAACACTCATCTTCTCCCCTTTGACAGATGCATGTCACAGGTCTTTCTGTTTCACATCCTACCCTTCCATATTCCACTGTCTCCAGCAAGATCTTCAGAAGAAAATTGAGGTTAAGTGCATTATGTCTCTCCTCTGCCTGTATTCCACCAGTATTGCCCCTAGGAGGATGTTCATTCCCCACCACTGCCCATGTCCACCACAATCCTTCACATACCTGGGCATCAGCCACACTAAAATGGCTTGCAGTTCCACTAAAAGGGTGTATAAGGACTTTCCATCGCTCTTCCCCCTTGTGTAACACACCAATTATCATCATAGTCTAATTGTATTCTCATTCTCACTTGCAACTCACACCCTCCCAAGCTTGCCCAATTGAGCTCTTCTTCAACTCTTTTCGGACTCAGTTCATGCCTCTGTCTTCTGAGCAGACCCTACAACTTCCACAACTCCAGGGTCCCAAGAACCAGTGCTCACCCTATACTCAGGCACCTTCATGTGTACCTCAACTGTTATGGCTTAATCTATTGATTTATGACAATTTATTATAGCTACAAGTATATCCATACAGAGAGTTGCTATCCATAGGTAATTCCTACAGAAAGGCTGAAATTCTTCAGAGATTAGTAGAACTAATCTAGTAGTAGAATTTAATTAGTAGAATTTGAAAAGAAAAAAGAAGAATGGTTTGTACTTGCTTTCTGGGAAAATGATAAGTCAAAACAGTTGTTTCCTCTAAAGGTGGTATGTGCGACACTTCGATGTGGTTCAAGGACAAAACCTTTTTATCTTACTAATTGCATATTTATGGTATCACTGTCTTCCATTTTATGCCAGGTGACACTGGTTTTCCAACTCTAGTGGTGATATTAATTTTCTTTCAAAACAAATTTAACTTTGAAACTAGCCAATTTAAAAGAAAAAATTACATAAATAGTGATACAGGTGTCAAATGGGTATGGGAAAATCATGAAGGTAGCATGTGTATGAATGAATCCTGGGAACACAGAGTTTACAGAAAGGCATTCTTCCTGTTGAGACAGGGCTCAAAGAGGTGCCTCCAATATTTGTGTTATTCCACCTGATATAAAATGTCAAAATATTTTTCATGACATAGCATACAAAAAAAAAAATGGTTAGTGAATGTATAGCTAAGGCTTGTCATGGCAGAGGGGATGACACTTCATAGTTCTGGACCTGGTGGTCCTAATTCACTGACAGGGGGGTCAGAGAATCAGTACAGTATCTGGGACATCCAGGAGCCCCACAACAGGTTGCCCTT